TCTTTAATGGGACGAGCAAAATCTTTCAAGGCGGATAAGGTTGAAGACGGAGACAAGGAATTAATGTGGTGCATGAGAAGTCAGCAAAAGCCTGATCAGTGTATTTGAAAAAACAGTTTTGAGCACTGAACACACAACAGACTTCGTTCCATCCGTAGGTGATACACATCGGCACTGACAATAATTACACAATAGACTGCTGCATATACAATAATTGTTGACACGAATGGCGATGCTAATCTCAGTAAAAAGTCTAGCCATTTCTTTAAAGTTCTTGATGCTGAGGATTTTGCTCTCATATTTGAACGCTATCAGCGAAGCAGCATAGATAGAAATCAACCCATTCAATCACTTTCAGACGAGTGGCCAATGGCTTTGCGATCTGAAATGCCTTACAGAACGAACAAATTCCTCTACTTTCCGTGGGATAACCATTGCGTGTACCTATCAATAAAGCTGCCATCCACATCGCTGTTTAGCTAAGATTCAAATGAGGCAAGAATTATCTACTACCAAAGCTGATTTACCTTGTTTGCCTAGATCACCGGTTTTTTATGCGCGAAAGTGAATGTTCCGACAGAAGGGGGACATTTGAAATAGAGGGAGTAAATGGCGATATATGCTTACCAGCGGCCAAATTGAAAATGGGCATACTGTGAGGGGTGACTGTTTATGCCAATACCTCTTCCAGAATTGGTCAAAATAAGCAAAAAAAATAAAGTCAAAATCAGATCGGAGGTTTTATTCGTTAGGTAAGAAGTACTCATTCCAATTCGCAACCTGAAAGTATCATATGGCCACGACTCACCACGGATACCTTATTCATACGATCACTCGAACCCGTTGTGGCTGGCGGAGCAATTACTTTTTCCACTAAGTTTAAGACTGTCACATTACCTTGGTATTTTAAGATAAGACTTCCCGACAGTACATCTTGGAACATTACAGATGAGATGTGGCGCTATGGAGGTGAGTTTTGAATGGCCTTTTAAAAATATTTGAGGTGACTGGGCGATACGGAAGCTTTTAAGTTGATAGAATATAAGACAGAAGTGCAGTGTAAAATGTCAGGATAAATGTGAAACAGATCTAACATTTGAGCACTGGCTTCAGTGTAAAATCAGAGCAGCAATGCTGAACCATGCCAGGTGAGCCAACAGCTTAACTGCAGCTTATTTGCTGGCCGAATCTATAGGAAGTTGCCTCTTTATGTTATGCTATGCTAAAAATTGAATCGTCCGGATAGATTCCCATAAGGTGTACCACACACTGCTGCATGCCGTCTACTTATAGAAAGCTGGACATGCATACTCAGATGCGCCAGTCATATTGTCGGTTATCCTCGTCCCTACGCTCGTCTGGAATGGACAGGCACATGAATCGTGTTAGGCAGCGCAACAATAACATGCCATTAAACGCATAAAATGAAAAGTCACGACTTGACTCGAACGTCTTCTTTACTTTACAAGGTGCTTATTCCTACTGGTAAGGGTTGGCACACTTCCTTTCGATAGTTTCGGAAACAAACACACTTGTGATTTTTTCTCACTGTATAGGTCAACTGGCAAATGATACAAAACTGAGTGTCTCTATGTCAGTGATGTGGAGTAAAACAAATAATCTGAACTCATGTCGAAAGCTATTTGTCCGGCAGAAGACCACGTGCGACCAATGCTCTTTTGATGCTCCAGATTTTATACGCAAGAATAAGAGTATCTGCATGGTCTGCGCCTGTCCTCCGGTTCAGAAGACACTTAAATTTTATGGTAAATTAACCCAGTAATGAGCGTCGTGTTAAGACGTTGCTGTGGCGAAGACGCAGGACGATCAGACAACCCTCGGCATACCAAAAATCCTTCATTTTGCGGCATTTGGCTGCTGGTTGAGGGAGATATTTAGATGTGTATTCTCAGTCTGCCTTGTTCCAGTTTAAACGTTGACAAGTGTTATAAGGGTGAGTAATTCTTAAACTCTACACACTTTTATGTTCAACTGCATATCTATTCATCTATCCACCCAGCTACCCATCTTGACTCAGGTTTTTCCTGCATTAGTTATTTCACAATTCATCCATCATC